GTAAAAATTATGACAGCAATCGTCTGGTCAAATGCGCAGTGCTCCGACTCGGCGGCGTAGGCGCAGGGTTCTTTTATACATGCAACCACTTGTGTGTTAGTTAGGGACATCGAAAGCTTTACAATTTTTAAATAAAATTGTATTAGTACGTGAATGATTGATGACTGTGTTATAAAACAAATGACGATGCCTTTTTACGACAAAACGTTCTTCGTATTTGCTGAATAAAAACAGAAAACAGAAGGGTATAAAAATACCCAAGAGGATCTTATAGAACCGTTTTTTTTTCAGAATAAAAATTCGGACACCAGATCTTCGGATTATGCGTATTGATAAACATCCCAAGGCTTTGCTGTTGTAAGGTGTTGTAAAACATGAGCAATAATCACGTCATCTATTTATCGATCATGTTATATAGCATTACGTTTAATTTTATAATGTGGCTCAGCCCTGACTAAGCGTTAATTTGACGTTTCATCAACGTACCCAATTGGAGGCTGGTGCCCACGCGTATTGCGCTGACCCGTTATTTATGACCGGCCATTCACAAAATTACTATTGAGATGTCAAGTGCAATTATGTACTTTGTTATTACAAAGACTACTAGAATTGTATGCCTCTATCACGACTTTACAGTGATAATTATCGTTAGCGACCGCGTAAAATGTTTGTATACAAAGCGTTGTTTCTTCGTGTGATAGCTAGAGGCACTGCGTAATTTGCCATACAACTTACGTGATCGTAGCGACAACTGTCACAGTAAACTCATGGTATGGTATTTGACTGAGAGGAACCATTACCAATGTATTCAGTCATTTGTCAACATACGTAATGATCGTTTAGACCTAGGTTCTCAAGCTTTTTGAGTCACCGCCCATTAAGGCAAGATAAAAAAATTTCAACGTCCGCAAGAACAAAAAAAAATTGAAAGCGCGTATTTTTTATATTAACACAAAAAATAACAAGGAAAAAATAAGTAAGAAAAAATTTCAGGTTTTTTTTCTTCGGAAGCCCCTATCTCCCCCCTAGGACTCTTCAGCGCGCCTACTGGGACGCAGTAGGGACCACTTTGGGAAACTATGGTTACATCTTTAGTTTAGCTTGTGTCTTAAGTTAAGTTATGTGTACAAAAGGTACACATAACATTTTTTTGTGAAAATATCCCACTAGTTTGTGGTTATTATTGATACAAATATTGAACAAACACAAAGACAAATTCTTTCGATATTTTATCGCCTACTGAGCTAAGGGGACGAGTCAGCACGCAGCAGACTTTACGAATTTCGCTGTACCCGTCGCAGATTTCTGTTTTTGGTTTTAACGACTTTTTGCCGTAGCCGCTACATGTGACAAATCTATGAAAGTTTTTTTTTAGTAGGCTGAGCGAAGAAAACGAATAACTTTTCTTTGCTTGTTCCATCTTTGTATTAATAATAATTTCTATTTACGTGAAAGTCAGTAGCTTCAAATAATGTTACGGCGATTTAATTTCAATTTCGATAGTAATAATTTGTTATAGAGTTCAAATGTTATGGTGTTCTTGCTCGAATACACTTTTATATATTTTTAATGTTAAGTTATTACGGTTGCACGCATTCGTAATAACTTCGTAGGCTCCTTACCATATGTACATACTCGTATACCTACTTGTTAATAAATAAGGTACCTGAATGGAATTACAATTCCGTTTTCACCCGTCCGTATCACGTTCGTTATGGGCCCAAATCAAACTGTTGACAAAATTTTAGAAAGCTTTATGATATGTTACTTTTGGAAAAGCACACCGTACTATAAAACAATAAATAGTGGTTTAAATTTATTTTATTTTATATTTTTTTTATTGAATTGATATTCAATAAAAAATCGTAGGTTATTGTTTCTTAGAGTCTTCTGAACCGGAAAAACGATTTAATGCAGGATATTATCAATATATTTATTTTTTGATAACTATTTGATAATTATGTAATAATTACTGCCTTTGTGATCGAACGTTTTCCATGCTGGTCAGCCACGCAGAAGTCCCGGGTTCCATTCCCGGGCCGGGAGAAAAAATTATACCTACATTTATTTCTTTCATGACTTTGGGTGTAATTTGTCGTTGTCTATGTCTATGTCCATGGTTGTCGCGATAAAGGGTTTCCCTAGTGCGGGACTATTAATGTGTGCGTTATTATTATTATTATTAATTATCCATGCTGATTTATAATATTGTCTGTTTAATTTTTGACCAAAAGTTATAAACAATGAGATAACCAAATAAATGCGAAGAGAATTTTTGGGAAACAATTTGGTGTGTGACTTTTTTTTGAAGTAGACACTTGACGCGTTTGGATACGTTTCTTATACAAACACATAGCACGATGTAGATAGCGGCAGCATTTTGTTGTTCCAATGAATTTTATAAATATCAAGATTTATAGTATTTCAAGAATATATCGTGGTAATGGTCACTTCGAAGCGGCTAGTGCTGGTAAGTAAACTTTATTCAAGTAGCAAAATAAGGTAAACTTTGCAGTGGTGGTATTTCCGTCATCTAACAACCAGCCAAAAAAGGATTTCCGCACCCCACTTAAGTTTTATTAGCTTGTGTCTCAATAAATTACAGCTGGCCATATCTAATCACACAATAGGCCCTGGGCATACTGATTGTCGTTACTCGCTTCATTAGGGACACCCGCCTATTATTATTGTTTCAATGCCCCCTTGAGTAGAGACCTTAATTATGGACTGATTTGTTGTTTAACGCTTCTTTGTCAATGTTGTTTTGTAGCGGTAGCAAACATACAGTGATATTTATAAAATTTATTGAGATAACACGTATCCGTATCAAAAAATTGTTTTCCCCGATGATTTTTTTCGTATTTTCTAGTTTTCTTACTATCATTTTTAGTCCAAAAACTAAAAGAAACAAAACTATGAATCAGCACGGTAATATATCGGACATATATCGGATAATTATCATGGTACTTATCAAAGAAAATAAATGTCGTGATAATTTCAAACCCAATTATGTCCAATCAAGACCCCGATTCAGAACTCTTCGATATTTTAACCGAATCGTTCAAGTGAATATCGTTCTCGTATCGAAGGGCGCTTTCCGAGCTATTCCGAGCATTCGAGTTAAACGTTCGATTCGGATTCTGAAACGATACCGTTATCCAACAGCGTCTACGGAGTTAGTCGGTGAAATAGGTTATACGAAAAATGAAATTCCTTTATTTATTTATTTATTATTCAAAATTACAACGTATTACTTATAACAAAAAATCGCCAAACTGCTGTGCAGTTTGTTGGTGACATGTGCACTCTTACTTAATAATACCTACTTTACTATATTTAACATTATACAGTATTAATTGAACTACTAACTTATTAAATAAAAGATAAAGATTATTTTAAGAGGTACGCCTTTAACTTACGTTTTAGTGCATATTTACTTAATTTTGTATCATTTCTAAGCCAATCAATGTCGTTATATATTTTTGGAACTAAATAGCGTGTACATCTTTTTCCATAATAATTATTTGCTTTAAACTGCACTAGTTTACCCTGCCTTACTCTTGTTGCCATGTACTTATTTTTAAGCCCAACTTTATAATTATCGCTGTAGTAATTTTCCAACACTATCAAATACCTACTCTTAACTTCTATAGGCATGACCCTACAGTAACTAAATAAGTCATTGTACTCTGTGTGATTACATTTTTCTATTACTTTTTTGCACACTAAATGTTTTATCAAACTAATTTGTAACTTTCTGATTCCTTTAAGATAACTAGCAAAGGTCCGACCATATACATTTAATCCATAGCTTATTAGCGAGTCTGCCAGCGCATAATACACCATATACAATGTTTTTTTATACAATATACAATTTAAGTGAAAAAATCTACCAAGCATTCTATTTAATTTCATACACACTTCACTAACATGTATTTTCCAACTAAAATTACGTTCTATAATGAGACCTAAATATTTAAATTGTTCAACATATTATTCTAGATTAGTACAAGTACATCCTACTTTATTTTTATGTAAACACTCATTTTATATACATATTTAAGACTTTAAAGGCCTAAAATATAGGAATGCATTAATCATGCATAAATAAAATAAATTCGTAAAATTGAACAAAATCAATACTTTATTTAAAATAATAAGAGATTTCCATATTACAGTAGTAGTTTTAATTTGATAACTGTGTTCTGAATAACGTTTGTAGCCTTTGCCGGTCGAGAAGTTCGAGTAATCGTACGGGTGTGTCGTTTCGGTTCGGTTTCGATTACGACAGTTTGATGTCCGATTCGAGTGTTGTGAATAAAAATGAAAAAAAAAAAAAACGTACGATATCAATTCGAATCAGTCGACAATCGGTCGAGTTATCGTAAGGTTCTGAATCGACGCCCAGATTGAAAACAAAAGCAATATTGGTCTAGGCGTATGCTTAATATTGCTAATACAACATCAATATTCATAGGTAGCAGCAACGCAATGGTTGTTGGGTTTCCTTTCGTAACATCGCTCGTAGAACTGTCAGGATTCGAATCGTACATCTAAATCTAGATAGGCCGGACAATGGAAAATATACTCCCGATTTCTATGTTGTAGTTTCCAAAAGACTCATTGTCTTGTCGTGAGAACATTGTTGTGTAATTTAAGACAAACAGAGGAAACGTGCTAGTTTCTTTCTATTTAGCATACAGTAAAGAGCCTTTTTCGGATAAACAAACACTCCTTACATGTTTGAAGTCGTTATTCAATAAGACTTTCAAGCCGTTGTATTGTCTACTGCTTAATGCTGTTAACTTTTCCATCCGCGTTAATTTTCATTTTATAAGAAAAAACATTGGAAATGATTAAAGACACTTACTCTTGACAAAATCCTTTTGAAGCATATAACGTTAACATCGAAAATAAAACTTTATATTTCTTTATTCATTTAAATAATGGTTTGTAGTGTAAGTAAACATAGTTGTAAGTAATGTATTTTATCATTACAGATACTCCTAAAGTTGCGGCGGCGGCGGTGGGGCCACGCGGCAAGCGGGTACAGACACCGCAACCCACACGAACGCCGCCACCTGCTTTGCTCACTGCTCCACAACCCGTTGTTCCACTAGAGCAGACTGTTGCCTTAGCACATGCTGCTAAAGGCGTTGAAGCTTTGGGCGTTTTAGTCCAATATTTAGTGTTTCGAGTAAGTGTCATATTGTAAGCAACAGAGAGAAATTAAGTTTTGTTTAACTCGTTTATAAAGATAAGAACTTAGTAATTACTATTTACTCGTATTGTCTTTTCCAGTTGGATGCACTAAATGGCAACTCTTGGAAGTTGGAAGCTGATCGGTGGCGAAGCATGGCTGCGGCTGAGCGCAGTAGTGCCGCTCGTGCCGACCGCGACCGTCAACAGCGCGCGCAAAAGGATCTTGACACCAGTACTTTGTTTTTTTTTTTTTTTTTCAAAACTAGATAGAAAACTTTTCAACACAGAGTCCAGTGTAAAATAAAGCTCTTGTGTTTTTGTATTGCAGTTGCTGAATGCCTGAGCAAGATCTCAGAGCTAGAGATGGAGGTGTCGTCCAAGGAGGAAGCTAACGCTTGTCTCCAAGCCGCGCACATTGAAGAGGTCACTGCGCTGGCTAATGACATAAAGGGGCTTAAAGTGAGTATTACGTCGATCGTACACATGTTCTTAGTTGCAAACTTTCACTTCCACAGCGAAGTTTTTATAGTAATTACACTGCGCTGGCAAAGCGTTACGTTTGGTCGGATATAAGTTATAATAATAATGTGCCAGACAGTCATACCAGCACCTCATTTCAAAGTATTATTCCCTGTACTATGAGTGCCACATCCAGCGTCCATAGTTTGAGCCCATTGGGCCACCAATGTCGTTGAAATTTTTTTATTATGTTATTAACGCGAGGAACATGCTGTGCACCATTTAAAGCGATACTTTTAAATTGGTAAGATTAAAGTGCTACTGATGATTCTGTCTAAGTATATAACAGTGCTCTATCAGAATTGATGTAAAGAAAGTTTCATATCTCTGTCTTTTTTCCAGGATACGATAGAGTCCTTGAAACACGAGGTAGCAGAAAGTCGGGCGCGGTTGTATGCACATAATGAAATTGAGCGTACCTTGCGCGCACAGCTGGAAGCGGTGCGGGCCGAGTTGGAGCACGCCAATGATTGTGCTGCAGCACAGGCTACACTACAAGTGAATGGGACTGATGTGCAGGTTGAGCCATTACTTCCTTGTGACAAGTCCTGCGAAATGTGCGACGCAGCCTGCGACCCAGTGTGCTGCGAAGCGGAAGATTGTGAGATACGGCTAAATGAAGAATTGAGCACGGATGCCAATGAGTTGGCAGCTGAGGTTAGTAGTGAATGTGTATAAGTATATTTAATATTAAGTAAAGGAAACTATCGTCATAATCTTGTAGGCCCGTTTTAACACCTGCCGTCGTAACGTAATTAGGGATGTGACCCAACAAATCGTTGAGTCTTACCGAATTCTCACGAGAAATTGATAAAAAATTGTATGAGTTCGTTTTCATAGTTTTTTTGGATTCATTGGTGTTAAGTTATAAATCTAGTTCTATATCTTTCTACGTTAATTTTGATTATAGTGACCCTCCCTACCTGCCCTTCTCGTATGCCCATACGAGAAGGGCCCTTATAAGGAAGGAACCTTATAAGTTCAGGTTCTGATCCCAGATCAGCCAGTATACAGGGTTGCCACAGACCTCTGTTACTTGACTTCATCCGGTTCTTCAAGAGGCTAGTGCCTCGGGTGAGCTGTCCCGGGTACACGTACAGTACCCTCCCTATTTTCCAGATAGGTACCAGAGTTGTAGGCACGCTCACTTCCCGACGTCGAAAAACGACATTTCTCCAGTTCCCAATAACCTAAGCGGTTGGAGGGACCGGAGGATATCTAGCTTATCCTCTACTATCTCTCCGGGCTAGTGCCGGAGATGCCAGTCGCATTATCCTGCGACAATGTCCGGACATAGCTTACAACTTAAAGGGCAACTCACGTGCCCAGCGCGTCTCCTCGCTTTAGGCCCTCAACTAGACCGCTACTAAGACGCGCTTGCTGCTCATGAGACAGACGCCCCGGAAACATGCAAAACCGGGGCAAATAAACATGTCCGTCTCTGCAGCTAACCACAAACCCCAGCGAGTTCATACCCAAGTCCGAGTCCGCCAGAGACGCAAAGGCGTATCACTGGCGGAGGGTTTGGCCCGGACGCCTGCTGTACCCTGGTCTTGCCGTCGAGCCCGTAGTCTCTCCGGAAAACCCTGTCTCTTATGTCGGTAGATAGGGACAAGTTATAGATCAATTAACTGCCTCCGTGGCCGAATGATCACCATGCTGTTCTGCCACGCAGAGGTCCCCCGGTACTTCCCGGCAATGGCACAGTCGGCCGGGGCTAGGGACTCTGGTTCAAGAACCGGCGAACGATATGTGCAGTATCGATCAGGACCGCCTTCTGCATTTTTGCTGGAAGCGACACGCTAAAGAAATTTGACCGCCTCAAGTTGCTAGCAAGCCTGACTGGAATTAATCCATTTGCGGACAAAACAATTGGGATTATTTCAGTAGAGGCCACAATCAATATGTTATAACACCATTATTATTATTACAAAATAACATTCATTTAAAAGTCACAAAGTTTAATAATAATACGTGATAGCGAGTAGAAACAGTTTTCGAAACAAAAGCAAAACTAATCACAAGAAAAAGACACCAAAATAAACACACGCAAAGTCAACTTCCAAGATGACGAAAGACTACGTCGATACCCGCACTGAGTACCGCTAGGTCGAAATCAAGGAAAATAAAAACGAAAAAAGTGTGAAAAAAAGGAAATGAAACTTGGCGTTACGACTGTTGAACTCGGCACTTTTAACATTAATATTTAAATAAGTAGTATTTTTACGTGGCATCGAATTGCGTCGGCGAAATTTAGCAATCAAGTGGTTATAAGACTTTTATTAAATTAAAATAAATTCAGGGTGTTTTTGAGACATGTCGTAGTACCTAATTCAAATTTTTATTTTGGTATTCACGTGTAAGTAATACTTGAATTGGTAGTCAATGTTGAAGTGTGTGTACTCGGTCGTTACATAAAATGTCTAAAGTCTAAAACGCAATAAGTTCTTAATTATTTGTTTGTGTCAAACTTACATTCTATCGTCTCTCTTTGTTGTCCAAACGATCCTATTATTACATTATGAGACCTAAATATAAGTTTAACAGATTGTTATGTCACTGTTGTTCTTCTCACCATTTTAATTTACTTTTACTTTTCGCAGGTTCGGTCTCTGCGAGCTGTGATAGAGCTAAAGCAAGCTGAGATGGCTTCTCTACGAGACGCACGGACTCAACTAGTGGTGGAACGTGAGCGGCGCATTGCGGCAGAGCGGGACATGCACGCAGCGCTGCAAGCGTCTGAGGAACTACGGGAACGCGCCGCGGCGAGGCAAAGAGACGCTGATCGACTTCGTGATGATAATCGTCGCCTCCGTGATGCTGCTGCGAGAGACCGGGATCACGCACAGAGGCTCGCTGCTCTCAATGAGGAACTCAGATACAAGCTCAGGCAAAAGTCACAGGTCAAATTTTTTTTAAAATATTTTATCAATATCTCAAAAAGTCTCCAAAAATTTGGCACAGGATGGCGGACAATTTCGTCATCAAATCTACTATCATGACTATACAAGAGATAATATTTAGAAACGTTATTTGCAGGTGGTGTCACTGTTGGCGGGTGGTGGATACATCGAGCGGACGCCGATGCGAGCGCGCACATCTTCGGGCGACTCAGGCCGGTCAGCGTCGCCGCCTCCAGACTCGCCACCTTCTCCTGCCGCGTCCCCCTCTCCCGACTCCCCGCCGCTGCCTGCTGTTAAGGGTGTCGTCGAGAAACATGACTCTGTAAGCTGGGTTCTCGAGATTGAAGAGACTCCAGAAGAAGTCGCATCGAGGTATGACTGAAGTAATTGTGTACTACTATTGTGACTAAAAATTCACTTCTCTTTAAACTCATTTCTGTCTATTTTGTTAGGAGGAGGATGAGTCAGGATCATGTACATACAAAGTTGCTACCAAACTCACGAGTTGTTTAAGATTACTATGAAAACTTGTTGGTTTGAACTTGTAAATATCACCTGATGATGATCACACATAAAGATGTGAGAAACAAAGGTTTAGATTGATCATAATAAAATGTTTCAGACTGGCGCGCAAGTCGTCGTTCCGTGCGGGCGCGTCGCCGAGCGGCGTGAAGAGGCGTGGTGGCGGTGGGTCCCCAGGCGGCGGCTCCCCCGCACCTGCCTCCCCTGCGCCCAACGCCTCCAAGTTGTTTAGGCCGGGTGATATCGACTTTCCTCCGCCCCCACCGCCGCTCAAAGAATCCGCTGGCGAGGCCATCTACATTTACGACGACCGCCAGTACTGAGGCCCGACCCCATTGGAGCGGTTCGTCATCGTCACTCAATACTAGTCTTGTGATAGCGCAGTCGATGTGCAGACTGTCTACGGAAAAAAATGTATGTTACTAAAGTGTAAAATGTTATACAAAACGGAATGGACCTATAAAATATTCTTGCCGTATAAGATTATTTTGCATGCAGACGTGTAGTTTTACGAAAATGTGGGACCCAGCGGGCGAGTCTATGCAATTTATTATAATGTAAGAGATTTATATGATTCGACTGCGATGGTAATGTGTATGATTGCTTTCAATCAAGCTAATTCAACGGACTTAACGGCGAATACGAGCTTGGATTGTCTCGAGTACCTAGATGTAAAAGTTTGCAATTTCTCATTAATAATGATATTACAAGCAATACCGTAGATATCATGATATAGTTAAATTATACTCGTATTCTTAATTTACTTCAAATGTTTGTCATGTGAGGATGAAGTTTGAAATAAGTTAAGTAGTTCCATAATCAAGATAAACTGCTTTTCTAAAATCCTGGTCTTGAACCTATACTTCATTCACTTAGGCTACGATTTGAAGGAAAGTGTTTTGTGTACCTGTATATTGCGCCAATGAATTAAAGTAGATATTGATGTTACATACATAACTATCTATGTCTCTACTATGATATCTTTGTGTCTTATCTCATGTTTTTTTTTATCTTTATGTGCTTTCTTTATGTCTTTCTCTCTTACTTCTTTCTGATCTCATTTCGAAACTATCTTTTTCTTAAGCTTTTATTTATTGGGGCAATAAGTTATTGTAATTTTCTTCTTAATAAAGTAATCATTGAATCTGAAATTGTTTCACTCGTGCAGTTCTAACAAGTCATTACATTGTAATTATGCTTACGTAGCAAAGTAAATTGATCGTAAATATTTATATTGTTTTTGTATTAAATATTATATTTATCACTAGTTTATTGTGTTATACTATTGTTAGAACTGTATTATTTTTGTGTACAAAATAACAATTTTATTGATGGAAAAATTAACATAGATTTAAGTAAAATGTTACGACTCTGCGTTAAGGTTTGTTAGAGTTTGACGCCGATTTTTAGGGTTGATTGATGAATGATTTTCATTAACTTTATTTTATGAAATAGTTTGTATTTTATTTCAATTACTTGTTTTATTACGAAAATATCTCATTCAAACCAAAGAGTCGCGTTTGAGTAAACTCTTTGCCATGTTCCTTGTGTATCCGTGCGCAGTCGCATCCCGCTTATTTGCATGTGTTTGATAAAAACTGCTAAAGTCAGGTAGATAATTTTTATTTATTTTTAAGCTAAATACATCATTCCAAATTGAAAATTCTGTAATTATAATTTAAAAGAATAAAAATAGTATGTTAATGATTTATGCATTTAATTTACACACATAGATATTCTATATCTGTTTACACACACTACACGCTACAATAATACAACAAACGAGAAACCTCTTCAATACGTACATATATAAACATGATGTCATAATGACTGAAAACGTGGAATGATAACTCAAAAGATCATCATTTATGCATGACGAATACATTAAGTAATCAAACGAGTAAACTGGGATTCTCCCTTATGTAACCAAATCGCCACTCAAAATTCTGATAGAATGTGCGTATTGCCAAATAATTACAACAAAATAGTAATGAATAAGCGTTCTGACCTAGACCCAAAATTGGCGTATGTTTGCTCAGGTATCAGCACTTCACATGATAGAAATTGATAAAGAACAATTAGTGAAACACCTTAGAATAGCAAAACTATAAGTTGTTCTTATTTATATGTATACTATATAGTATATCATATATATCAGTCGGTGATTATGTCAAGGTGGACATGAAAATTCTGTAATCAAGTGAGGACACTGTGATAGCTGCCCGTATATAAACCATAAGGGTTCGTCACATACGCACATTTTGTGAAAATACCTCATGATGGCTACAAGTTGGTATATTTTGTTATTTGCAATTCTTGGAATAGGTAAGTGTTTTATTTATTTACTAACTACATATTGTATGAAGTTCCGTAAAGAAACGTACAAAATACCTAGTAATTACTAGTCATAGAATTTACGTGTGCACTATGTATTTACGTGTGTATTTTAGAATACATTACTTATTCCCATATAGTGCTTAAATTATGATCTTTTTGTTTTGAAATGAGGTGCTAATAATTCGCATTTCTTTAATTGGTAGTAGTAGAGCTCCTTGTGAAAGTATTCGTCTAGGGAAGTACTGCCACCTTACCTTTTTCTGCCGCCAAGCAGTAATGTCAGCATTACTGTGTCCCGGTTTTGAAGGGTAAGGGTGCTTGTCAAGTTACGACTGAGGGTGACAGGCGCAGTGGCAGTGCCCCTCATATCTTTGTGATATAAAGCTCTGAGTGGCAATGCAACTGTTATGGACAGTTATTCCCGTCACTTGATATTATAAAAAAAAATCTATACTTAAATTTTATGCGCTATTCTAGGTCGTTACGAAGGTACGTGTCCCATACGTTGAATGTTCGTTCAAAATTACCAAAAGTAAATATACATAACCTTGGAAAGAAGACAGGATTAAGGTACTTCCGTTAAAAGTAATTAAGTTCGAGTTGTAAGAAGGCTAAGCTATATTTAACGTAATATAAAGTATCTTTTGAAGGCAAAATGATCAAGGATACATATAGAAAAAAGAAAAGGATATTGCAATTTCAAACACGTTTTATTACGTCCGTTACAGAGGCACAACATTATGTAAATACAGTCACGTTAGCGAATTCAAATTCGATTTACGTATGGAAATATTAATTTAAGCTATGGTACCTTACGTGATATTTTCAAAAAGTCCATGTTGGCAAATAAGAAAGGGGTAAAATTTAAGAAAAAAAAAAGCAAACACATTCCGAGATTATTTCATGGGTACTTCGCTACTCGTGTTCACGTCACAATACATCGTCGCCTTACTATTTTCTCAAACTCGTATCTTAAAGCACAAAGTTACTGAAATGCAAAACAATGGATGGAAAAAAATTGCAGGCTAATTTCACATCACATTTCCTTCATATTCACACACTGATTTTTACCTATTCTTAAAGTAATGCATCCAAATTGATAAGAAATTTAAAATAAACAGAAAGTTTTGCCATCTCCTCAATAATTATTCTTTTTAAGATACGATATTGTTATCCCGTTCATGGACAGTACGTCACTACTTTTGTTTGTGCCGTTGTGATTGATTAAATAATAATAAATACGCTCTATCACAGACAGCTGATCCCATCACTATTCTTGTATAAAAGAATCTACGGCTATGACAGTAGTATGATGATTGCCGTTGTGTCATATTGAATTAGTACCTGCTAAAACATTTTTAAGTACTACATTTTTGGTACTAAACGTTTTCAGTACTCAAAATTTTTAGCCTCGTGTATTTGTTGATTTTTGATGTGTGCCATTGGCAGAATATCAGCGAGGCATATTATGAGTTTAGTGCTATAGAGGATGATGGATATATACTTGTAGTAGACCCATTTATCTTGTTTGCTTTATTACTCATTTAATGATAACATATATTATTATTTAAATACTTTAGCCTTACAAATAGTACAAAGCAAGCAAAACAAGATTTCTAAGTGTGGGTGTGGAATACAACAGACGATAAAAAAGGCGTGACAAATTTAAGGGGCTCCGGCACCTAAAATTATCTGTATCTTGGAGGCAATTTAGGCGGGCCGAAATATGTGTCTGTTGGTAAAACAAAACGAAATATAAAGTAAAAGAGAATGAGTTTGTACGATGGCGTAGTTTCACTTTTTGTGATAACTATAAGAGTGGTGCGTTCGTGAAACGCGCGATTGCATCGCTACATTTCCAATTTATAGGCGATTGCATCGATGCAAACGCCCGACTGCATCGATACAAACGCGCAAATACGAGTAGCATCGATGCAATCTATAAATCCCTAAAAGTCACCGTGTGTAACGCTCTTTGGGGTAATAAATCAAAATAAAAATAAAGTAGAAAGAGTAAGAGATGTGTATGATGTACATGTGCGTGTGTTAGTTGTGTAGAGTTTATGGGTAAGTATGTGTGTAATTCGTAAAATTTTGCTAACCTTTCCAGTTACGAACTGTTACAGTTCGCAAAATTGCGAATCCCATTTAATATATTCTATTAAACTGAGTTCAAAACATAAAGCTGTTACTTGTAAAGGTGGTCTTACTTATTTGGACTCACGAATTTTTTAAACGAAGATTAGGTTATGATGGAGGCACTAAGGTGGAGCACAGAAAGCTGTACTACTATAAGAACATGACTTTCGATGAAGAGTTATGACGTAGGGGGTATCTGAAGTGTCGCTTCGTTATTACTTATAGTATAGCTCTATGTGTCCTTTCCAGCGCGAGGAACATTTGTATTGTCTTTTTTGTTGCAAGTCAATTTACTAATTTAAATTACTTTCTAAAAATAATAATGACATAACTGTGGTATATTTAAATTTCCAATATAATATATAATTACTTTTAAAAAAATTTGATAATTTATATTTTTGGAATAATATTTACAATCTTTAATGACTTCTGTCTTGAAAATAGAATGTCAATTAAAAAAAAGATTTTTTTAAACGGTTCCTACATTCAATTAGATAGTATTTACTATGTATCCTTCAAAACCATAATGCAATAATCTCTCGCATTAGTGCTTGGCGGCAGAAATAGGTAAAATGCTACTGCTACTAAACCACCCTTCCCCACCCTTCGATCACCAAGTCGGTCCATAAACAATAATAAAATCTACCTACTATCGCAATTTTTACTTTTCAGTACTTTGCGACGAATCTCAAGATGTCAAAATTCGTTACTATTACAAGTAAGTACCATTTTTTACTTATTGTTTGTTTATAAAAAACTTTTTGTATAAAAAAAAAACTATTCTAAAAGAAGAATAACTTGGATTTCACAGGAGTAAAGACAAATACACTGAATTACCATTGGATGAGGCAGGAAAAATATTTTCCTTCGATTGGTATGATTCTAGTAAAACTACAGTTATATTTGCACATGGTTTTACAGGTAAGCATTGATCGAATGAATGAGGTGATAAAGCTTTTTTAGACTGAGATTTGTAAAACTAACTTTGACTCAACTAAGCCGAAATGGCGAGCTTTGTCTTAGTTTAAGCAAGACATTTAATTAAACTTTAAATTCACTTCGTAGTATCGTGTTTAAATTTAGTCAAAGTTCATTTTAAAATTCTCAGCCCTATCGCGTGCAATACTTAACTCTCACACGGGACTCTCACATTTTTATATTCGGTAACTAAGCACGCAAATACAAAAACACAACATTACAATAACACAATTTTATATAGCTATAACACCACTGTACTTATGGATGCTATTCCTATCAATTTAGTCTGTCTGAAGAAGATGTATCTGGTTGGATATTTTGATAAATACATAGTATTTTGATAAAAGCATGCTTTTAAAGTGTTAATTTGAATGCTATGTATGTACATGACGAAAAGTACAATTTTGAACAAAAGAAATTTGACAATGTATATTTTTACTGTAATGACGCTATCAGACACAAAGGAATATACATAAAGATATCTTGGATGTGAAGTAAAATAATGATTTCACAAATATGTATGTAAAACAGAAAGATAAAAATAAATTTATAAAAAGTTGTTTGTCACCAAGTATTTTCATGACTATTTTTTTAGTTATAAGAGGTACATTTAAAAAACAAATTCCCGAAATTTCAAAAACTGAAAATATCTATTTTTAAGCATCAAATTAAGTAAGCTAATCAGGTCTTTAAACTGTTACACAATATAATCTGTTATATATTTAGTTGTAAATATACACACTAGTCCCGCTCCACTTTTCTGAGATAGTATGATTCGGTAATTTATTACACAACCATTTTTCTTCAGAACCTTTGGCCGAATGTGTTTTATATTTTCCCTTTAATCCATAGCGAGGAATGATCATTTAAGTAAGATTTACCTGTTATTAGTACATAACGTAATTTTTTTAAATGGTAGCGCTTTTCAATATTTGTTTTGCAATTTATCGCATAAAAATGTTCGTAAAGTTATTATTACTGACGTAAAAATCGAATGAATATGAAAAGTCCAGGGAAAGAACGATCAAAGGCACCTAAAAACATATTGTATTTAATACCGCCATCTAATTCGTTAAACGCTAAGTGCACTTTGCCTAAATCAGGAAAAGGCTAATAACGATAAAAGCCCAACATCCAGAAAAATTTACTTTTAGTTTTAATAGGAAAGTTGAAAAAGATTTTTGTAGGTAATTTTAGGTAAAATGGAACACATAGGTTTACACACATTTATGTCAACATTCATTTTATTTCAGGTAGCATTATTGCTTGTTTTTTTCACCAATATTGAACAGTTTTCCAAATTAAAAATTATTTTTTACTAAAGTTCTCATCAAGTGACTTTGATCATTCTTTCCCTGGACTCTTCATATAAATAGTAAGTCAATTAATGAACATAAAGAAAAATTACGTCGACCCAATTGGACTTGAACCGGCGTGGCAGCCGCGTTGAGGCGACAGACGGTAGCAATAATAAATAATAACAAACTAATAATACAAATTAATTTGAAATTTACCATGGGTTTTTCGATGGAGGAAAACATAGTAATGAAACCTGCACGTCGAAAAAGGTTCGTAACCTTCGGAAAACTTGTGAAGTCACCAACCATGGTGGCCATTATCACCTACCCGCATTGGGCCAGTGTGGCGGATTATGTCCTAAACCCTGGCCTGAGAGCAGGCTCGTGCCCAGAATTGGGACGTATAAGTGAGTCGATGATGATGAAAACTTTCCAGTTACAGTGTAAATAATTCACGGTTCCATATTTTGTAGTTACTTAAAAGAAAGAAAAACCTTTTTACCCTCATATTTTGTATATTTATTAAAATCCATTTCATTCCCAAAGCAAGATTACGTTTGCAAAACAAATCTCATATGAAATAGCAAAGTTACCGCCGAGCCGTTGAAATAGGTGTTTCATTGAGTTTATGATTGTTTTGTTCATAATTCAACGCAGGCCGTCCCGATGGACTCGCGGTGGCTGAGGTGGTTAACGCTTATCTTCGTCACGGTGAAAACAACGTGGCTTTCTTGAACTGGGAACATTTGGCTGCTCCTGTACTCCCTACGTTGCCGGCTTCTTACGTTAATTGGGCAGCCCCTAATGCTAAAAAGGTTAGCTATAGTAATTATTTTTTATCTATTTATCTTATGCCTTAATACCACATATTATACTTCTTTTGCAATTGAAAACGTATTGTACCATTAAGAGATGTTACACACGCGCGACTTTAAGCAGCGACACAAACGCGATACAAGCGCGCGACTGCATCGATACAAACGCGCGATTGTATCGCTACACTTGGGATTTATAGGCAATTGCATCAATGCAGTCGCGTGTTTGCAACGTTGCAATCGCTTATAAATCGCAAGTGTAGCGACGCAATTGCGCGATTTCACGAACGCGCGTTTGCATCGCTGCTAAAAGTGGCCATGTGTAACCACTCTTAAAAGGATAATATTTTTTTACATCAAGTTTATAGAAAGGTACCTACCTACCTACTAATACTGCTAGATAAAAAAACTGTTAATACAAAACCATAAACACAGGTTTTTGCATCCATATTATTTTACATACGATAAAAAAATCGGATAACGCTTGTCAGAGCAAATTGTGCTTAATTGAATTTTTCGCTAAAACTAGAATCGGCATTTATCCAAAACGTGTTTGATTTTGCTGTTCTGTGAATTACCTACATAAGTACGTAATGTGATGTGGAGATAAGAGTTTCATCCGTAAATAAACTTCTTTATTTTCTAAAATATTGTGTTCTTGGACAACCCTTCTATGATATTTGTATCCTAGATGTGTAGTGTTATATTAAGCAGAAATGTAAACTTTCAGGGCCCTAAGAATTTTCTAATAAAAGGTTTTTTTAGATATCTTATCTTCTTATCTTCGTTATCTAGAAGCATAGAAAAGTTAACACATATATCATCACGCCTGTCTGGTCACTGCGGTAGGCAGAGACTACGGACCTCTGCCTGCAACGCTCCTAACAAACCTTCCCTGCCTTCTCGACGGCCATCAGTTTCTTCATACATGCCCGTTTATTCTTGGTACTTCAACCCCGGCCTTTTTTAAGGACATTCTCAATCAGATTGAGTGCGCCGAGGTCTACCTTCCTAAATTTGTGCCGTCAATCTACCAAAAGTCATCAAAATCAAAAGTTAAATTCAACATTAAAGTGTAGTTTACTCGAATTTGGCATAAATGTGTCACATAGGTTCTATATTTTCAACAGTTGGGAGCTCGAGTCGCAGAGGCTCTCCATATCATGCAGAGCGCTGGTATGCATTTGAATAATACTCATTTGGTGGGACATTCTCTCGGAGCTCAAATTTTTGGTATCGCCGGAAACAAAATGCTGGAAAGTGGAATTCAATTACCGTGGTATGTACTTCCGTAGTTAACACATTTTTATACAAAGCATTTATTGCAACGCGACAGCACAAACATACATAAAATCAAAGAATAATAATTAAAAACAAAAGTAAGAAGAAATTTTTAAATTAAAATTGAATAATTTGAAATTTTTCTATACGCTTTTCGGTGAAGGAAAAGATTGTCATGAAACATGCGCATGTGTTATCACTATTCGAAGAAGGTTCACAACTCTCGGAAAACATGTGAAGCATTGGGCCAGCGCACTATGGGGAACCGCCTAAGAGAGCCATGCTATAAATGGTTTTCCCAAAAGTCTGCGTGTATTATACCTAAGCTACATGTATTATACCTAAATTAGAGCTAAGAGATTAATCTATACAAATATACATCATTTAAACTTCTGTCTATTACTATATCTTGGCATAGAGCAGCCAAGTATGCGGAATGAAAAAATGTTTAAAATAATTTAAAATTTGTGATTTGTTCAATATGACATTATAGTGACATAGCAATAGTAATAATACAAGTGTTGTACCATTTTAGAAAGCTGAAAATATGTTTCTGAAGCACATGTATATAATCTGCTTTCGTAAATATACCTATCAGCTATGTACATCTCGTTATATGCTAATTTTGCTTATCATTAATATTCAATTTGAGTTTTGACTGTTGCCGAAATTTGTCGGTGCTCTATAAATAGTGTTGTTTCATAGGCAAACTAACAAATTTATATTAGAATTAAAAAAAAAACTTGCGGTTTCCTTGCGTAACATATGTTAATCTATTAAAACATGAAATTACGAAGTTTTGTTCTTACTACGCTAGCGAAGTCATTTTTGTTAGTTCATATGGCTTTTAATTATATTTTATACAATGTGGTTATTATTTAGGTAACATATGTAGGATTTTTCATCGTATTTTTGCTCACATATACAATTTACTATGATAAAATTATCGAAAACCGCGCATAGTGGTAGACAGTTTTTATCAAACCGTTTCACACGCACGCTTCACATCAATATTATGTATAAATACGTTTGCATAGTAAAAATCACACTTTTTCATTTGTTAATGTTGTTACTGAAAGTGTATTACCTATTCATCTTTCTGCAGTGAGTGAATTTTTCTGCACCAGACGCGACATGTTTCGTGTTAATTGAAAGTGATATGAATTATGTTGTCTCTATTACAAATTATGTACGCGATAATCGCATTTGATGTCAAGTATTGCAAAAATTGTCGCAAAAATAAAAAAAATCTAATTTCCCAATTTCGTCAACGGTTCACCAAATCTGGTAAAAAAAAGAACAATTCTTAAGCCAAAATAGTGGTGTTTGGATGGCATATACACCGTGAATCTGTGCAGAATCTAGACCCATGCCGTCTTTCCACACATCTTTATCTAACACACAGTCTTCAATTTTGTAATATGACCTTTGTAATTGCTTTTGATTTCTTTTTCATTCTTAGAAATATTAAGTTTAAAAAGGTTAAACAAGTTACGTTATTGAAAATATGTTAATACCCACAAAAGAAATATTCATTAAAAGCACATATATTCAAGAATATCAAAAAAAAAAAATCATGTAATTATCTTTCAAAACTTGGAAGTTATAGATTTATGACACGAAAATAGCTCAATCTCACTATAGTTCAGCGTGGCGGACTATGGCCAAAACCCTCGTCTGAGAGGATACCCGTACGCAGCAGTGGGACTTATAAATGGGTTGATGATGATGATTATGAGTACAAAAATAACAACGAAAAAATAACGACGCAAACATATCAAATTCAAACACAATTTTCAAATACTGTCATCGTGTCATCATGTGTGCGGCTGTGGTCTACTAATGAATAGAATCCACTCAGCAAATATCACAGCCGAGATTAGGCTGTAACGCAGCGACATGTCCATTTTTTACGTAATTTACTTCAATCTTCAGTAAAAATCTTAAAAGTCAAAGTCAAAATTATGCTTGATGTTCTAAAGAAACCTCTAAGTGCCACAACATGCCAAGAAAACACATACACAAATATAAACTATGGCTAGGGGTAGAAAAAATTTGATCTTATATTATTTAAGACTTAAAACAAAGAATAAAAACAAACATTATGAATTACGTCCGAATGGAGTCCCTCGTGTTTTAGATTTAAAAACATGAAGCGAATCGTTGAACACATCTATTGTTTGATCACGCTCGTTAAAGTTTCCAATCTAACGATAACGGAATGTTCTACTGTGTCGATTGTCGCTAACGACCGCATAAAATGTTAGTATAGGTTTTTTTTATGTTAGCAAGTCACGGGACGAAGAAGTCGTACCCTAGTGATAAGCGAAACGCCTGTACAAAGCAATTGCAGTGCCACTCTGAACTTTGAATTGCAAAAATCTGAGGGGCACTGCCGCCGCGCCTATCACATTGGGACATAAGTTGAAAGTTTAAAAATCTTAAAATGGTGCTGCACATTTTGACATACAAAATAATCAAATACATATTGGAGTTGTTTGACTTTGTACAGCTTGTAGGTAGGTACACAAGACCAGGTAGATGTTGTGATATAAAAATAACGGGTTGCTACTTATAACTTAAAGGTTTATCAAAAATTAAAATACATTGAACGCTTAAAAACTAACAAGGTAAACTGTAACCAAGTTCGTGACTCTAGCTCGTTAACATTCATAGGCTAATAAATAACATCTAGCGATTATATTCCTTAATTAAGTTATATAGGTGTAAAAGGCTAGCAATATTTCTTTCGATTATCAGACCAATAACTGGGTCTTTTGTAAACTAGGAAGTTCTATTTTCTACACACAAATGAAATTAACTATGAGGTAGCACGGGCGTAACTCCACCATATATGGGACTTCGGGGAAATTGATTGACTGAGACCTTCGAAGGATTAAATTTTTACTCTACTCAATGTACTGGTTCTCGAAAAAATTAAGATTCATCAACAGTAATTGTTATATCTGTTACAAACTCCATATTATACAGTATATGTCATATGTCTGACTAGGTGCACAACTACTTACAGATGGTAAGTACTTGTGCATTATATTACACTTACAGTACTGACCTGAATCATCTTAAGTTAATTCTCAAAAAAATCTTAAGTTTAATAAAAAACAATACGAAACAAAACGAGAAAAAATATCTAATTAAATAAATACAAAGTAGGTCAGACTTGTCGTATTTTTACGCCACTGTTACAAGATTTGTGGTATTTTTTAGGATTACTGCATTGGACCCAGCGGCAGTAGGGTTCGAGGGTAGACCATTGCCAATGAAACTGCACGCGGGATCAGCGTCGTTCGTAGCTGTAATACATTCGGATCCGAGCAAGTACGGATATTCAAGGCCCGGAGGCACGGTCGATTTTTGGCCTAATTATAAAAACGGAGCTGTAAAACAACCTGGCTGTGAAGCACGATCGGGGCAAATGTTTTCACCAGAAGGTAATTTTTTATATAAATAAAATATGTGTTAAAGTCTGAAGAAAACAAAGCGGTCATGTAACAGATTTATTATTTATACACAGAGAACACAGACTGAAAACAACAATATATTGAGATTGTCGTTTTCGCCCATTTCACCCATATATTTCTTTCTAGTAGAAATCAACGTAGCTCTTAATTTATTTTAAGTAGTCATGTGTGTCATAAAGAAACTTCTAATTATTTATATCTATTCATCTGAATTCGTCTATTCTTGGTGTTTAAGTAAACACCGAACCATAAATAAACACACATTTGATAATGTTAATAAATGTATTATAGACAAAAAGTGTAATATTTGTTTGTAGATCTATGCAATCACAATAGATGTTGGCAACTATTGACTGATGCCCTTAAATACCCGGGAAGCTTGCTCGCGAGTTATGCGAAAAACTATAGAACATGGAAAAATTATTCAGTAGACGAAAGAAGCCAAAACGTTTTAGAAATTGGCAAATATTACAAAGAAGATGTGTAAGTATATGGGAATACTTTGTCATGCAATGCTTTTAAATGTTTTATTTATTCCTCATTTCTATTACCATACAAGAATAGCTGACTAATAAAGTAGCAGGGTACCTATAGGGTATATCTAATTTTTATTTTCTACCTTTGTATTAAAAATTATAACAAACTAGTGGAGTAATTTCATAAAGAAACAATTGAATATCATGGTAGAACCTAAATCGTCGTCATATTCAATAAACTTATTGTTTCTTTTTTAAATTTGTCAAATCTTACCCCGTAACAATTTTCGTGACCCAACTATTTACGTGATACAATTATTAATACAAAGATCGAACACTCAGTAACAATTCCTTCGATCCGGCCGGATTCTAACCGACGTTTTCTAGCATACCGTGCCAGACGCTTTACCAACTAAGCATTATTTACGTGATACAGTTTATTATTTTGTGATTGTATCTCTAAAATATAAAGAATTTGTAATAAACCTGTTTTTGTTGTATTTTCCAGTACTCCAGGAAATTATTATTTCACAACAAACGCTGCTTCTCCGTATGGTCTAGGAAAAAATGGTCTATAGCGTTTGATCTAAAGAAATAGTCTAACAACAAAAGCTTTGCCATTAATTAATAAAAAAAGATTTTGGCTTTAAATATTTATTAGACATCTTAAATTATGTAACCAGATAGACTAATAAAGAACTGATTAAAAAATGACAGTCGTTTTATTTTTTTGACAAATCACATAATGGAATACATGTTTAATCCAATCAGATGGAATAATTACACAAGCTATATCTTCTTCGTTTAGATTATATATAGGAAGTATCATTAAAGACAATGATTCATCAAAATATTTTCGGCAAATTAATCATTGCGAACCTGGAATTTTTGCACAAATCATTAAACCACTTAAATGGCAAATGGATTTTGCGATGCCGATGCCAAATTCCTTCCTAATGGTTTTTTATGGCTGAAAATGCCATTTTATTTATTTCTAAACAATAAAAGATGTTTGTAATTTATTTACTTTGCTTGGCTTTAAGGAATTAATTTTAAATACAATTGTAGTATCATTTCAGGGTTTTCAGTCATTACGTACAGCTAATATTAGTTTTATATAATAAATGTATGAACATTGGTATTTTTCAAAATGGTCTAACAAGTTCATGATAATGATGATGTAGAATCATTTATTTATTTTATAATAAATAATATATGAAGAAGAAAATAAATAAAAATATGTCAAACAATACAACAAAAAATATAAACACACTTAATATACAGTATAAAAGTGTCACATTCTTAAAGTAACCATCATTCATCACGAAATGAGGGTCACAAAGGTTCCAAACGGAAACTCTGTGTAAAGCTTTTACGTCTGGGAGTCAAAGGAGCGAAAGAAGGAGCTGTTATATACAGTTCCCTAGGGCAGCGAGCCAGGGGCTGCTGCCTTATCCTGTATAAATAGACACATGGAAACGACTTGATGGAACAGAATTCCTAAGGCGATGTGGCTTATGCACGAGAACTATTTTGAAGCATTTGCTGACCAAGATCTAACCTGATGTTTGAAATTATGAACACAACACCACAGAAACTTAAAGTTCAAAAATTTAAAACTGAAAAAAGAAATATCAAATTTCATTTACTTTTTAAATAATGCAACGCGAAAGTTTAAAAGTGGATACGAAAAAAATTGAAAAATAATATCTTCGTATTGACGCGTATTTAGGTAAAGGTAAAGGAGTCCAACTTTTTGTTTAATGTTGATCGTACTAATTGTAATAAATAATTTAAGATAAAAAAAAACAAAATCTTTAGTTCTGCATTGGTATTGGATAGGTACAAGAAGGTAAATATCTGTATAAATGTAGTTTTACTCCATGATTTACCTCAGTTCTGGGTTTTCTTGGAATAGTAGGGAGTGGTAGAGATGCTTTTTGTTTAATGACACGTTCGCACAAAAGAACAATTTGAAAATAGGACGGTGCGCTATAAAATGATTCACGAAAATATTCTTTCTGGACTGTGTACCAGTTTGTTATCCAAACCCTGAAAATTTGTTGGAAAGTAAATAAACTTTTCAATAACGTTTCTAAATAAACATAAAGCAATATACGGTCTGTTGATATGTATTGAAATAACAAATGACTGAAAAAATATACCTTACTTTATTCAGTCGAACAAAGGTTTTAAAATCATGGTATTTTTTGGTTTGTTTTATTGGACAACGATATTTAAAAACTGAAGATGTTATAAATATTGAATGTCAATAGTTAAAGGTCACAACGTGTTGCCAGCTCTAAAGCTGGCGTGGCCCCGTTGCTCGTTGCAGTAAATTTCAATGCGTTTTATAACAAGCGGACGCGACCGCGCGTCGTTGGCGACAGCTGTTTTACAATTTACGCCTTTAATAATGGCCGACCTGCCTTTGAATCGGTCGCGCTCGAATTAACAAGCAGCTAAATTAAAGCCTTCAAACTTTTTGCAGACCATTCCTTTTCAATCTCAATCAAAAAGTAATACCGAATGATTCTGACATTTTACTTGTTTTTGTTTAACGAGCTCTTACTTCTCGCTCAATTATACAAACATTAAATATTAGTTACCTACGGACTACACAGACGTGAAATTTGCTTACTTGTTAGAATGTCACAAAGTAATGTTTTTCTTAAATATTTTATAAATGTAATTGTATTGTACTTGTTTAAGATCATGCCTACTTTAAGGAGTACCTTCATATTTTGAGTTGACAATGAAAACAATAAAAAATATATAATTGGTGTCGGTACAGGAGGGAACCTTATTCATTGGGTAAACGTTTGATACAAACCCGCGTTCGTTTGCTTTGCTCTTATTTAGCTGTGAAAAGGATTTGAAGAAAATTACAAGCCCCAAATCTGTTTCATTAACAAATCCGTATCCCGTGAAAATTATCTTTGGGATTTATTCAGACAGAGCAGAATAAACGCTAACTCGATGATCGCGTGCATTAATTTTTCTACAAACAGTAAATTAAAAATAGTCAATATGCCTTCTTATTCAAAGTTTTCAATTTAGGCTAATCGGAATATTAAACACTATCCAGGCTTCTGCAAAGCTTTTTATTTGATGTCCTCATACGGTGTGGCACCACTTTCTTAGGCATAAATGTTTTCTGCGTTTAAATATGTAAACAAACTCCTTTTACAATTACACAATTATGGTCATTACCATTACTTCAAAGGTGCTTTCTATTAAATAGGCTTCCACCAATATAACGCTGTCTTATAGCGCCTTGTGACGGGTGATCATCGAGTATATAACCAGAAAGAGAGACGAAATGTCATATAATTTGTTTGAAAATTAATTAAGCCATATCATTACGGTGCCAACTGCGCTCGAATTGGCCAGCCCGAATTCGAAACAATTGACGAGTGTCGTCAATTGTTTCTTTAACTTGAGCTTTGCTATAATGGATGAAAATTGAAAAATTTCATTATTTAATATTGAATTGCCGATAAAATGTGATTACGTTTGTTTTGTAATTAGATGTTTTGCTGTTTTTCCCACACCATCGAATGGAACAGCCCCCATAGTTAGAGATATTATCTTTATTTTAATAAATACATAATATTTTTGGAACATATGGAGACGTACACACAGGTCAATTGTTGGCGCTATACTATTTCAGCTTTCTTCTTTGTGATTTCAGTTCAAACGTTAGTTGACATTTAAAAGTGATATCAGCACCATTTGACTGATGACTTGCTAGGGATGGATGGCCCTTATTTCCTCTCTATTTCTGGTTATATACGCGATGCGGGTGATCTTACACTGCATTACTTATCGCTACTTATATTGGTTGCCAGTTCTAAGAGCAAGTAGGTCTTCAACTTCAAGTTGAAATGTGTGATTTAGTTCATTAGTTTGGAATTTTCACCGCATCCAGCCGCGCCCTCACCCGACGCAACAGCACTTCTAATTTAAATCGTTCCTTTGAGCAGCTGTTCAATGGGTCACCGTTCTGAGCACGAACTCGACTTCAAAGCTTGTCCAATTACTTACTGATTGAAATTGTAGACTATGTGCTGTGTTTTTTTAATTAAAATATATTTGTGTTTTTAGTATAATACCTGTCCTTTGAAGTAGGAAAAGTATTTATTTTGTCTTCGAGTTTTATCTTTAATACAGTCATGTAATTATAAGGCACTAATAAAATACAGTTAATTAAATTTTTATTCTAAATTAAACAAATTATTTTGTAAATAGGTTCACGGTATACCACCGTAATTGCCACTAGCAACACATATTTAGTTCGCATATACAGTACACCGGTTAACTTTTAGATGTCTGATAATATATAATACGTATTGTCGGCAATTTTTATAATTAATTATTCAATCATTAATGGATACTGTCGTTCATAGTCCCAGTAGTATCGTGACTGTAGCTTTCACTTGTAATTGTAGCCTAGAACTGTTAATTATCTCTTGGAAATGGTTAGTTCTGTAATTTATGCAGCTCAAAGTGAAGGACTGGAAAGTCAAGCTAACTGTAAGTTTTGGACAATTATCACGAACTTTTAGTGTGCTACGTATTTAACTATATATGTTGAATATTTTATTTTATTGCATATCATGATGTTTTCGCTAACATGATAATTTTTTGGGAAAATACTACTGTAGTTTATTATTTAATATTGATATAAAGATCGAACGAACACAAAGAAAAAAATCCTTCCGTCCAATTGAAAAAACTTTCATAAATTTCTCATAGGTGGCGCTAAGGTAAAAAAGCCGTTTAAACATAAGCGAAATCCGTAAGGTCTACTGATTGTGTAGCTCAGTTATCAGCAGCGATGTCCCCGGCGTAGCAAACAGGCGCACTGATTCGAGTCCAGTCAATCGGATGCACATTGAAGGATTTTTTCTTTGTGTTCATTTGATCTTTGTATCACTAAAAAGTAGAATAATAGTTATTTGTTATGAAAGGCCGCAAAGTCATTGTTTAACGTGAAACCTGAGCAAGCGAAGGATGTTAAGATCAAAAATAGAATCTTGAGCGTAGCGAGGGTTTCAAGCCACAAGACGCAAAACAACTATGTTGCCGAGCGAAACACACAAATTTTCACCTAGCGAAGAAAATGGTAGATGAAAGAAAAACAGTTGAACTATAAAAAACAAAATTAGTTATCGTTGTCAATTTCACATTAGGAATAATAAGAATAAAATATGTACCTATATCAACCGATTTGTATTACATACATAATGTACGACAAATCGCGTAGATGAGTGTGCTACTACGTTTTTTTCATCGAAAGAAAAAGTTAAGTGCACTACAGTCCATCATCAAGGTCGAATCTCAAAAATTTTTCCACTCTAGCGTGGAAAAAACGATTTTGCGCGCAGGTTACTAATGAGAAAGAAAGCCTTTTTTTAGCTAGTGAGGTGAAAAAAAAGTTAACGTTAAAGAATACTCGATGGTATGTAGATCCCATTGCAAGGTTGTTGTTTTACTTCAAAGTCATCTCAAAGGTAAACTCTTGAAGCAACCTACCAAACAAAAGATCTCGGCAACATTATGTCATACAGCACATAGATGTCGGACGCCAATGAAGTGATCTCGGATTTTAACAATCTAC